TGTACAATTGATTGTAACAGACAATTTATTTTCATTTTAACTGGTTTATTTAGATACTTGACACTAATGTTTATTCTGGCTTTGTTGTTACAAGGCTGGGTTTTTTTTGTATGTGTTTTTTGTCCTCCTCACTACTGCCGGTGTTGTTCTTGATTGAGAACGATCATCCTGAGATCGTCCTGGCTGAATATTCATATTCTGGTCTGGACTGGCGAGCCATCCTACTGATACGTGCCTGAACTAAGTAAAAGAGAGTGAAATCTGCTGATCTGGTAGGACCAAACTAATTTGTTAAGAGAGTTTTTTTTTCTCTCCTCGTGTTTTCTACAAGGATATTTTTCATGGGAACAATTTAAATATTTTTTTCCTTGGACTGTTTTTTTTTTCCTTCATCCAAATTTTTGAAAGGAGACATTTAACTGGACACTTTGACTTCAAACAAAGACTTTATATTGAAAGTTCATCTTTACTTTTAACAAAGACTCTGCTTTTGAAATTTGAAATTTAGGGATTGTTTGGAACTTTGAAACTGAACTTTGCATTTATTTTAATAGCAGTTTGTTGTTGAATTTACTATTCACATTTTCTATTGTATTATACTGTTTTATATTGGTTTTATTTGTTTTCTTTTAAAATCTCAAAAGTGCATTAAGCAAAACAATACAACATATTTTGCATTAATTTATTTGTTGTGAATTATATGATTCATTTATTAATCCTAAAATTAGATTACACTATTATCACTATAAGTATTGTTCTTTTGCTCCAGTGAGTCGAATCTTACCTTTAAACTCTGGTCCAAAAAGAATTCTAATAGTTAGCGTTGGTCTCCGTTATAAAAATACACTAGTTAACATATATAATAGGAGCCACACAAGGGTAGTGTTACATGTTGGTTAGGATAAAAACCCCTTTTAGTATGGAGAATATTCCTTCTATCGAGTGCCGCTGCTTTTATTTAGAACACGGTTTAAATCACTCGCTCCTGTCGTCAATATGGCAACCTGCGCTTGCGTTTGCTTTGATCCAGGAGTGCGATACTTAGTTCAACCACTGGGTGTCAAACTTACATACTGCACCTTTAACAATGTTTTCAGAAGTTTTTTGGGAAATTGAGACACTAATATATTTTCTGATGGCCAGATGACCATCATTCTGGCAAACAACAGTGTGCTGCAGCGAACAAAAGTGGACTTATATTCCACTTTGCAGTTATTTGTGTAATCTCTTTCATTACAGTTAAAGTTATATTATCATTGCTGTCATCATTCTAAAATGCATTTGATTATTATTTTTTTTTTACATCTTGGAATTAGAATTTTAATGTGTGCACTGTACTGCATCTTTTCAGTTTAATTTTATTATATATACACTTAATTTTAGATAATACATTATATGAAAAGTTCTTGCATCGATGCTGACATAAAATACTAAAAAAAAAACCTTGGTTGAATAATGTTTTGAAACATGCAATAAAATATAAACTAATAATAAAAGGACATTACAAGGAGTTCAAAATGTTTCATTGGTTTGTAAAAGAAAACCTTTTTATAAAGAGAGAGATTTTGGTCAGTCGGGTGTCTTTTGTTGCATTGCTTAAATATTTGCAACCAATATGGGTTATCATATTATCAAACATATTTGCATGAGCTAATTCCTCAGTTTTGTTTATAGTTTGTGTGTGTGTTCACATGCAGCTATTTGATCCAGATGTAGCCGATATGAGGCCATAACACAGTGGGTTTTTGTCACTGCCAGCTTTTTTACTTCTGCTTGGTGTTTCCCACGATTAATAGTAAAGTCTGTGTGAGTTGTATGATTACCTGTCTGTGTTCCACTATCCACCCTGAAGGCCCATCGGCCTAGATCATTGACATTACTGGAGGCATTGAGGTTTGAGATTGAGCTCCCGCTGTTTGAATCAGGAATCACAAAGTAATCTGTGGAGTTCATGGTGTCAAAACCAGCCTAAATGTGAAAAAACGTCAGTCATTTATTTATATATTTATTATGATGCATTCGTCTTTGGTCAGTATAGTAGCAGCTCTATTATCTAACAATAAATAGCACTCTGTATTGTCTAACCCAGCATATTGCAGACTTTTTATTTTAGCCATTAAATGGATAGAAAGAAATTCCCAAAAATCTGTTAAACACAAAAGAAAATATTTTGAAGAAAGTTGGAAACAGGTAACCATTAACTTGGATTTATTTTTTTATTTAAGTTTCTATGGATGTCAATGGCTTGTGGTTTCCAACATGTCAACAATTTGGGTCCGAATTCCCCCGAATCTTATTGTGTTATGGGTCTGTTTTGAGCATAACATGCATTAAACCAATCAAAGTCTCATCTCCCATTCCCTTTAAGAGTCAGTTACGTCACGCCATGGCACATTTGCTATTTACATGGCAGACTTTGTAAGTGGAGAAACTGAACGCTTCACTAGCGAGAAAACAGTTAAACAGACCATATGCAGCATGAGGATAAAGAACGAGCTTCCTCCATTCGACCTCTTTACTTTCTCTTTACTTCACTGTCTTATTTTTGTGGAAACAGGAAACAGTTTTGTATGCACCACTGAAGACATCCATCAGCCTACATTTGTAAAATAGTTTTTTAATCACAAAGAGTAGTTTCAAAACTATTTCTGAGTTCAGTTCTAATTTCCAGCAAAGTATTAAATGAACAATAATAACGATGTGTGGTCAAAAAACTGAGTTGTTATATCCAAACATGTTTCCACGTTTCTTATGCCCCATATGTCCTACAGGTGGACTAATCCAAGCTTGTTTTTTATTCAAACAAATATATATATATATATATATATAATACTACTAATAATATTATCATTATTTAAAAGCAGATTGTCATGTTTATGTAGAAAATAATGTTTTTGGAACATTTTAATCCTTTAATTATTATTTTTTTTATCTTTAACTTGTAAAGATATCTGTGTATTTCTGTAGATCCTGTGTGTATTAAGCAATGTGTATGCGTTTGTAAGGCACATAACTAATGCAATTTGTGCTAGACTGTAGACCTGCTTTAAACTGGTCAATAGCCAAGTCTATTTTAGTTCCTCATAATAGCAATGTGCCGACAATGTGCCTTAACACACCTTCTTTCTAGACCGGCACACCCATGAGTCCACAAAGTAGTGCAAATGGATTTGCTATTTAAACAACATGGCACAAAACGGGACAATTTGGGTTGCGTTGCTCTGAAAATTGCAACAAATCGCACCAAATATCTTCTTTTGTGAAAATCAAAAAGGATTGGAACCACTTAAGGGTGAACAACTTAAAATTTGGATAAACAAATCAATTATTATACCTGCTTATTTAACACCAAACAGTGGCTTTACTTTTTTTTTCAAAACATTTACACTAATAGTTTTATACAGTAATAAAAAGAATCTTTTACCTGCACCTGAAGTCCTGTTGTAGCAATGTCTCCATAATTCATCAAAATAAATGAATAATTACTGCCTGAAATTAAAATCACTTGAAACGACGTTTCCTAAAAAAAAAAAAGGGAAATAAAAGCATTAAACATAAAAATACTCACAATTTATGAGGGTCAATGTCTGAACTTGTGCTATTTATTTTTAGTGGTAATTTCTGTGTTCCGATCACTGTGTACACAGTCAATATAATAATAATTTAAATAATTCAGTTTGAACTTGGTCTATGGCATTTTGTATTTTTGGCAACAATTCTTCAAATCAAGTGTTGACAGTAATTTCCCATGGTTATCATTCCTGGATGACAATATAAATACTTGTGAAATAATAAATAATTGTGAAAAAAATGACAAAATTTTCACACGATTTACATTTACATTTATTCATTTAGAAGATTACTTATCCAAAGGTGATTTGTAAGTGAGGATAAAAGAAGCACTTTAAATCATCAGAGAGTAGCTGTATTCTAATGCTATGACAATTCTAAGTCTAAGAGCTATATTTTAACAATCTAAGCACAAAGTCGTAAAAGCATTAAGGGCATGTCTGAATCCACTTTTGCCATTTTAAAAACAGAAAAATATGATCTGCGCCCCGGTGCATGGTCTAGTAGGCTTGTACTTATTCTCTTAATGAGTTATAGGTGTGTTTTGACTATAACATGCAATAAACCAATGAGTCTCATCTCCTATTCCCTTTAAGAGTAAGTTGCATCACACCATGGTGCATATGCTATTTACACGGCAGACTTTATAAGTGAAAAAACTAAGAGAGAAAACAGTTAACCAGACCATCTGCATGCAGCGTGAAGATAAAGAATGAGCCTCCTCCATTCTGCCTCTTTACTTTTACACTTCTCTTTACTATTTTACTTTCATGGATAAGGTGTTGTATGCACTCCAATCAAGACATCCATTAGCCTACATATTTAATTTAGTTTAAGCGCAAAGATTTGTTTCAAAACAATTTCTAAGCTTAGTTCTAATTTCCAGCAAACAAATAAATGGACAATAATAACGAAGCGATGTCCTATTCTTATGCCCCATATGGTGATGCATACATCTCCAAAACCCGACAGGTGGACAAATCTTAACTTGTTTTCATCAAAAGAATTATAAATATGCAAATAATAAATAATCTTGCTACTAATAATAACATTATTCAAATTGTCATGAATAACCTGAAAAAGCCCACTGAGATGAAGGCACGAAAGGCGGTGGATTTTATATTTATGTAGAAAATAATGATTTTTGTAATATGTTAATCCTATATTTTTTTTACATGTAAAGATATCTGTGTAGTATGCAATGTGTAAGCGTTTGGACCACCATAGGTGCATAACTAACTTTAGACCAGCTTTTAGATGATCAAAAGCTTTCAGTTCCTCAAAATAGCAACAATGCATCTTAACACACGTACTTTTTAGACCGGAACGCCCATGAGTCCTCAAAGTGGTGCAAATGACCTTGCTATGTAAACAATGTGGCGAAAAACATGAAAATAGCAACAAATCATGCCAAACATGTCTTGTGCCTTGTTGCGCCGTGTGTATGATAGGCCTCTAAGCTACCCAATCTATGGTTGTTTGTTTGTTTTTTCCTCCAGGAGGAAAGAGAGAACCAAGGGTGTTCAACAGGTGGTTTGTCAAGGCCACTTACCTGTGTGAAGCATCCTCAGAATGTTTTCAAAAAATACAAAGTAACTTATTAATAATAATAATAATAATAATAAATAATGCCTTTATTTAAAGGCGCCTTTCTTGACACATAAGGTCACCGTACAGGACAGCTAGAACAATCAGTTTAAATAATGTTACGCAAGAGCGTATTGGGTTGTTTCTGTGCTGCTGTGTGTGTGTGTGTCTCTCTTTTTCCCTCTCTCGTCCTGTCCCGTTCCTGTTTCCAGGTTACCCCGCCCTAATTGGACGTGCTGCGTGCGTGCGCTGTGGTTGGTGCTGGCAGAAGTCACCATCTTTTGAAAAGGAACCGACGGAGTCAGATCGCTGGTTGGAGAGACGGAGAGTTTTCTAAGAGTGTGGCGTTCGTGTGAAAAACATATCATAGTGCTTCTGTTTGTTTATAAATTGTGAACATTAAGGTGTTCTCTCCCTTTTTTTGTGACTGTCAAATACCCTGTTTGATAAAGCTGTGAGCCGAGCGCCGTAGGGTCTGAGTGCCATTTACTTTGACACTGATTTTCTCCTGTTTTTTCGTTTAGTTAAGGAGTAAGGGTAGTGTTTGTAATTTATTTTCTTCATTTATTTGTGATTCAGTTGGTAAGTTATATTCGGGGTGGAGTTAGTAAATGTTTTGTCTATTATTTTGGCCTTGCTCAGCCCTGAAGCTTTTTGTTTGCGCTCATTTATTTGTTTATTGTAAATACAAACCTTTTCCACCTTCTCACAATAATAGAACCTTAAAGGTCATTTCAAAATCAAACCTGCTAACTGTTTATTTATTTTCTCTACAATTTTTATGTTCGACTTCAGCCTTAGACCTTTTTTTGAGGTCGTAACAATAAAAACACAATAAAGGTACCAGACTTACTGTGTTGGTTAAGGCATAGTAGGCAACTTTATTCCACGTTGCAACTACGACCCAAGAAGCAGTGAAGATCAGATTTGGGAAATAAGTGTTGATATCCTGAGTGGCGCGAGTGAGAACACTTCCATTAGTGTACTGATTATAAGAGATGACTCCTCTCTGACGGCTATCAAGGTCAGTCCAGAGTCCAGCAATAATATCTTGACTTCCATTAGCTGGAAATGAGTAAGGAGCATACTGTGTTGAAGCCTGGCTGAATGTGAGGTGTCCATTATTATTAACCTGAAACAAGAGAAATACTGTTAAAATCACAACCACGTGTTTAACTGATTACTATTTTTAAAGAGGCATTCACAACTCATTTAGACTTTGAATTAAATTCTTACATAAATCTGCTGGTATGTGCGGCCAAAGAACTGAAATGGACTCAACAGTGTAATAGCAGAGGAGCTTCCTTCATCCGAAGTAGGATTTATTGTATCGAATGCAGCTGAACCGAATGGGTAGAAGATTCCTGGTGCTGCTCAAAGAATTAAAATATTTCTGTTAACATTTCATCATGTTTGAAGAGATTAATGTTTGATTCAGGCAGTGAAAACCTTTGCTAAACATGATTAAACTGATTGAGAGATCTCTTAATCTGCTGTATGCTACTGTATGTGACCTTTCAGCTCACACCGAGACATTTTTAAAAAGAATGCACCTTTAATTGAAAACCACCTGTCAATGACATTCCAGTTGTTGGTGTAATTAATTGCATTGTTTATCTTAATTTTTTTTTAAAAAAGCATATAGTTATCTAGTTGGTAATATTCCATTAAGAGAAATGCAGCACTATTATGTGTATTTATGAAAGGTTAATATTAGTATCGATGTTAGTAGCCTCCTTTTTGGTCTGGCTCGTTCTTGCATCCCAGGCTCATTAGAATTATGTGCCCAGGACTACATTTTTTGAGAACTGACAAATATGTACCCTGGACTATGCTATCTAGTTTTTGCTATCACAAATCCACTAGAGGATGCAGTGTACATTGTGGACAATCTCAGATACATTACTGGGACGCGGTGATGTGTTCTTGTGCATGTCCATAAGGGAAATCAGCCAACTTGTTGTTGTGCATAATATATCTGGTTGATATCAACTGACCCACACACCTCCTTCTCTAAACCCAACTTATATTGTTTTCAAAAGCAAACTAGAAGAGAAAAGCCATTGCAGTCGTGTGCTTCTACTGTTATCTCAAACTGCCGTTTTTTTTTTTTTTTTTCGTTTTTCCTGGTATCTGAAACTGTCATTTTTTGACTCAAAACCCAAGGATAACGACATTTCTGGTGAGCTACTAGGCAAAACCAGTCATACCAGATAAGCAGATAAGCAGTCAGTGGTAGTTATTCATAGCATTTGTTTTAGTCATAAAATGCAGACATATGTATGGCAGCAAACAAATATTTCTCAAGAAATTTCTCTGGGTACATTTTCCCAATGAGCCTGTGTTGCGTTCTTGAGATTCTGCTCTCTTTGTCTTTCTTACTCCGTCTCAGGTAACTTTTTACATTTAGCTGGGTACAGTTAATATTATATTTATATTTTTTCATACATTCATTCTGTAACCAATTTAGTCGTAACCATTACAACATATTGTCATGAAATCATTTAATTTTGAATCACTAACACTTTAGATTAGCTAGTTATCAGATCATTAATAAACTGTTAGTTAATGAGTTATAAATGACGTGTTAAATAAACGTCAATAGTGTGTTAATTTTTTATAACTGTACCTTATAGATAGCCAATAGATAACTTGCAAGCTGTTCTAAATGACTTGTTAACTTTATTTTAATGACTTTTAACTATACCTAATAAATTATTAATATATCATAAACAAACTGTTATTTATATATATAAATATAAATATAAATATATTTATATATATAAATATATATATAAATATAAA